CTCGCCACCACGGTCTGAGTGAAGACGCAAGACAGGGAGACCGCGGTGGACACGCGCAGAGACAAGCCAGGGGATGAGAGCGCCAGGCACGTCGGCCTTGCGCTCCAGTGGAAAGACTGTGGTGTAACGAGTGAAGTCGTCTACAAGCACAAGGAAGTAGCGCTCTCGACGCGGCCCAGGGACGGGGGCGGGGCCCCAGACGTCCAGGTGCAGGGTCTGCAGCGGCGCGGCGGTAGGGAGAAACGAGGAGGAGTGAGGGGCACGGCAAAGCCGACCCTCGACACAAGGCGTGCAAGGTGGGGCTGGAGAGGAGGGAAACGCGGGGAGCGAACCTGGTAGACCAAGGACGAGACCGTGCTGGAACATGTGACGCAGACGCGGGAGCGCAGGGTGACCTAGGCGGTGGTGCCACAGGAGGGTCGGGTGAGTGAGGGAGCGACAGGAGCAGGCAGCAGCAACCTGGGTAGACGCAGCCACCTGAGGGGGCGCTCCAGCCGGGGGGGTCGCGGTGTCCAGAGTGAACAGGCTGGACACCGGGTCCCGGGGGAATGTGGACAGGGGGGCACCAGTGGCGGCCTCGGTACAGACAGCATACCGCTCGTGGCCAGGGAACGTAGTGGTGACGCCAAGGTCCTGGAGGCAGCCGACACCAACTAGGTTCCTGGAGAACGAGGGGATATGCAGACCTGTAAGAGAACCCGAAGGAACCGCCGGACAGGGAAGGGTGGTGGAACTGCGGGCGACTACCGGACCGCCGGAGGGGTCAGCAAGAGAAACGGCAGCAGGAACAGGAAGCGGCGTCAGGGTGGTGGAGTCGCGGAAGAAACACCGAGAGGCGCCAGAGTCCAAGGTGAAGGACAGCGAAGCCGAGGGGTCTGGCGACGGAACGACGGCGGAAGCACCAAGACTACAGAAAGCAGGGGATCCTACGCCTGACGCAGCAGGGAAGGCTAAGCTGGGCACACCTACACTAGGCAACAGTGAGTAATAATCGGGAAGCACACTAGAGTCATCAGCATACATCACATGCAGAGCGGAAACAATGGCATCCATGTCCATATCAAAAATCTGGATCTGACGACTAAGCAAACTGTGCCAGTCCGGGAGGTCTGGCGACGGGCCGAAACGCTGACGAAAGAGGTCGTCCAGGCAACGAAAACAGCGGGGAGTGGAGTGACTGATCTTACCGCAAACGAAGCCGCGGCGAGGACCGGTCTGGATCTGGTACTGACAACGCCCGCCGCCAGAGCCACCACGCGGCACACCACCACGCGCCCTGCCACCGCCAGCGCCGGGCCACCCTGGCGGGAGGACACTCGTCTGCCGCGTCTGCGACGGCTGCTGCGGCTGCTGCGAAGGCTGCGACTGCGGCGGCTGCTGCGGCTGCTGCACCTGCAGGGGCGGCGACTCAGCTGAACTGGGCAGGGTCCCCTCGTCCACTCCAGCACCAGGCGACCCGACCCCACCACTACCCCCGCCCGCACCCCCGCCGCCTCCTCCGCCGCGCCCAGCCTTGGGGCGGCGGCCCTTCCCCGAACGGACCTGCGCTGCAGCAGCAGTCTCAGCCACTGCGGCAGAGCCGTCGGAGTAGGTGCACTGAGCGGGGGCACAACCCTGAAAGATAGGGACCGGCACGACACTGCTCGCCTGGGCGATGGAGCGGTGACGGGTCTCTATCACAGTCAGGGTGTCTACAAAGTCAGTGAGGGTGAGGTCTGCGGGGTGAACGCTAAGAAAGCGGTCGCGGGCGACAGCAAGGCGGTCAGGTAGGCGGGTGGCAAGCAGGTAGAGGGTAGAGGTAATGGGCGGCTGGTGGGCTCTAAGCTGGGCGTCAGTGCAGGCAGCGCGCCAGGTCTCATCTATCGAGCGCAGGTGGGCAGCGAGGTCAGAGACAGTGGGGAAAGATGCAAGGTCAGGAAAGAGCATCGGAAGGATCAGGCGACCCACCGAGGCAGCCGGAGGGGTGGAATAGCGCTTGATCACAGCATCTAAGTATGTCTGAGCAGTAGTGAGAGACCTAAAGCGAGGACGCTCGGATTGGGGAAGGGCGTTGCTAATGGCAAGCTGGGCAACAGCATCGCGAGAAAGCCAGACAGAGTGCGCATGGGCAGTGGCAGCAGTAGACTCATGCTCAGTGTGTGTGGGGTCAGCGGGCAGGATAGCAGGGGGGTCTGGGCAGGGGAGCGTACCGTCAAGGTGTGCGGAAAGCGGTTCACCATCCTGCCGCTGGCCATTGAGTTGGCGGCGGAGGTCGGCAAGCCACGCCTCGAACTCTAGGGGCTGACCTTCAGCGTCGAAGCGAAGCTCCGCCGCCATCAGGAACAATCCAGTGCGGTGCAGGGCAGTGCAGTGCGGTGCAGTGCGGTACAGTGCGGTACAGTGCGGTGCAATGCGGTGCAGTGCGGTGCAGTGCGGTGCAGTGCGGTGCATTGCGGTGCAGTGCGGTGCAGTGCGGTGCAGTGCGGTGCAGTGCGGTTCAGTGCGGTACAGTGCGGTGCAGTGCGGTGCCAGGCAGTACAGTGTGGTGCGGGGCGGCACGGAGCAGGGCGGGGTGGGGGGGGGGGGGGGGGAACCGTACCAGTGAGGAGGACGGGGCCGGGGCTGGCCCGACGGGGCCGGGCGGGCGCGACGGGGCCGGGCTGGTGCGACGGGGCCGGGCGAGTGCGGCAGGGCCGGGCCGGTGCGACGGGGCCGGGCGAGCGGGACGGCGGCCGAGCGGGTGCGACGGGGCCGGGCGGCTGCGACGGGGCCGGGCAGGGTACGACGGGGCCAGGCAGGTGCGACGGGGCCGGACGGCTGCGACGGGGCCAGGCAAGGGCGACGGGGCCAGGCGGCTGCGACGGGGCCGGGCGGGCGCGACGGGGCTAGGCGGCTGCGACGGGGCCGGGCGGGCGCGACGGGGCCGGGCGGGTGCGACGGTGCCGGGCGGACGCGACGGGGCCGGGCGGCTGCGACGGCGCCGGGCGGGCGCGACGGGGCCGGGCGACTGCGACGGGGTCGGGCAGGGTGCGACGGGGCCCAGGAGGGGCGCTACAGGGCCCAGGGAGGACGCAACGGGGCCCAGTAGGGGCGCTACGGAGCCACGGAGGGGCGCGACGGGGCCTGGGAGGGGCGCGACGGTGTCCAGGAGGGGCGCGACAGAGCCCAGGAGGGGCGCTACGGGGCCTGGGAGGAGCGCGACGGGGCCCAGGAGGGGCGCTAGGGGGGCCTGGGAGGAGCGCGACGGGGCCTGGGAGGGGCGCGACGGGGCCTGGGAGGGGCGTTACAGGGCCCAGAAGGGGCGCTACGAAGCCCAGGAGGGGCGCGACGAGGCCCAGGAGGGGCGCTACGGGGCCCAGGAGGGGCGCGACGGGGCGCTACGGGGCCTGGGAGGGGCGCGACGGGGCCCAGGAGGGGCGCTAGGGGGCCTGGGAGGATCGCGACGGGGCCTGGGAGGGGCGCGACGGGGCCTGGGAGGGGCGTTACAGGGCCCAGGAGGGGCGCTACGAAGCCCAGGAGGGGCGCGACGAGGCCCAGGAGGGGCGCTACGGTGCCCAGGAGGGGCGCGACGGGGCGCTACGGGACCTGGGAGGAGCGCGACGGGGCCCAGGAGGGGCGCTAGGGGGCCTGGGAGGATCGCGACGGGGCCTGGGAGGGGCGCGACGGGGCCTGGGAGGGGCGTTACAGGGCCCAGGAGGGGCGCGACGGGGCGCTACGGGGCCTGGGAGGAGTGCGACGGGGCCCAGGAGGGGCGCTAGGGGGCCTGGGAGGAGCGCGACGGAGCCTGGGAGGAGCGCGACGGGGCCCATGAGGGGCGCTAGGGGGCATGAGCAGAAGCGGTAGGTGGGGGGGGGGGATCCTACCTACGCGTGATACCATATCAAAATTGGAATTGAATAATGGTAAAGTGAGAGTACACACAAATATACCTAAGTGTTGTACCCTCTAAGAGGTAACCCTATACAGTCTATACAAACATAACAAATATAGATGTTTGACATCATGTACCTAATGACCCGCACTCGTCCAGAACTTGCATACCCTCTTAGCATCCTTGCTCGCTTCATCACGATTGGCAGAGACTGACCAGAGCATTGGTCAGCTGTCAAGAGGGTATTGTTGTATCTGTTAGGATTAAGGACGGAGTCTAGGTGAACTTAGGAGCTAGAATTACTCAAAATATAAATCCGAAATTCTGGACAGAAAAGTCGTCTTTACAAGAAACGACGTCGACGAAAAACTAGCCGTTGGAATGTCGCGAAACTTGGATATGTTGTAGCTCTTAATCTCAGCTACCGTTCCCAATTTGAATCACGTTGATTGATGAAGTATTCGCGACGCTATGGCTTTCGACGCATTAGGGGGTAAGCTGTAGGAGGAGAACTTAACTCAATCTCAAAGGTTCAATCAAAGTTCAAGAATCTCACAAGGAATTAGAAGGAGCAAGAGAAAGGTTGGGATAGGAAGAGAGGGATGAGAGGGAAGGTCCCAAGAGAGTCCCCAACCAAGGAAAACCCCATAAGCACAAAGATTCCCTCCCTATAGGAACCCCAACTTTGACATTTGTCCCTTCCCAACCAATCCATCCAAGTTGGCCACCCTTGCCAACCTAGCTTGGTTGTTCCCAACCAATTTGCAGCTGTTACAGTAGAGTGACAAGTTTCCCCAACCCCAAAGGTCCCAACTCCATATAAAGTCACCCCACAACTTCACTTAGTAACCGCCGCAATTGTAACGCAAGCTCATGAACTTTGAATCTTCATAGCTTTCGCGTTCTTGCTCCGATTGAAGCGATTCTTGTTGCGTCGGAAAGATCTTCTCAAGATCTATTATCACAAATACCTGCTCAGACAGAATAACACAAAACACATTCCCAAACTCCAGAACACACCACACACAAATGCTTGCACATTCAAACCACACATGCAAGTTGAAAAAACATGGGATGGGAGGCAGACAGAATGTGATAGCATATGATGACATCACACAACAATCTCCCCCTCTGGCTGCCAACCATCATCGACCATACCACATCTCAAGCATGCATACTCAATGCACACTCATCCCAGCAAGCTTCATGCCCTTCCAATGATCCGCCTCCGCCAGACGCTTAGTGAAAATATCTGCTGCCTGCTGATGGGTCTTCACTATCTCCAGCCGCACCTCCTTATCAAGGAGTCTCCTCACCCAATGCCACTTAGGCCTTATGTGTTTTGTCAGCCCATGCAGACAAGCATTCTTGGCCAGCTTCACTGCAGACTCATTGTCACAGAACACAACTGTCGGCTCCTCCTGACCAACTCCCAACTCCTCCAACAAACGCCTCAGCCATACCACTTCCTTGGCCCCATGGTGTAAGGCCATGTACTCAGTCTCACATGAAGACAATCCCACCTCATTCTGCTTCTTGCTGCGCCAGCTCACAGCACCACCTCCCAGCAAGCACACATAACCCCCAATGCTGGTGCCATCCGCTTTCACTGAGTTGAAGCTAGCGTCAGTATAGCAACTCAAGAGCATCTCACCACTCTTCACATCTGCAGCACCTCTCTGCAACCGCTGCCTCACTCCACTGTACTCCAATCCCACTGATGCCGTAGCACTCACATAGCGGACCAACCTCTTGGCCGCTTCCAGCTGCTCATGACTAGGACGTGAAACCACGCTAGCCAGTCGTGATGTAGCAAATGCAATGTCAGGCCGTGTATGATTTGCAGCATAATTCAGCGACCCAACCATCGAATGAAACAGCTTCCTGTCACTATCACCCACTACCTCCTCATCAGCACATGGCTCCACAGTAAACCCTGAAGGTAGTGGTGTTGCTGGCTTTCCCCCATCTTGCAGCCCATACTTCTCAGCCAGCCCCTCACAGTACTTCCTCTGGTGCAACCTCAGCACACCCTTTTCCACATCTCTCTCCACATGCATCCCCAAGTAGTACTTCGCCTCACCCATCTTGGAGCACTTGAACTGCATCTCCAGCATCTGCTCTGCGCTGTCCAGCAAAGCAGTTGATGCAGAAAAGAGAAGGATATCATCCACATACACCAAGAGCATGAGGATTTCGTCCTTCTCCTGCAGCAGGAACAGGCTGGGGTCACACTCACTCTTCTTGAAACCCCCAGCCAGCAGCGCCTCCTCCAACTTGTGATACCATGCACGAGGCGCCTGCTTAAGGCCATAGATGGCCTTCTTCAGCCTGCAGACCCTGCCGCTCCCATCATCCAGCCCCTCTGGCTGCTTCATGTACACCTCCTCCAGAATGATCCCATTCAGAAAGGCAGTCACAATGTCCATCTGCCGAATCTTCCATCCCAGGAGTGCAGCTATCGCCAACAGCACCCTCAGTGTTGTTCCTTTCCCCACAGGAGCAAACACCTCATCATAGTCCTTCCCCTTTGTCTGCTGAAACCCCCGTGCCACAAGCCTAGACTTGTAGCGGGTCAGCTCCCCTTCAGGTCCATACTTGTGCCTGTAGATCATCTTGGAAGTGATTGCCTTCTTTCCAGGAGGCAAGTCACACAGGTCCCATGTCTCGTTCTCAATTAGGGACCCGAACTCCTCATCCTCACTCGCCTTCCACTTCTCCCCATTTGGTCCATTCAAGGCCTCTTCTCGAGTCTTGGGCTCAGGGATTGGTGCCCAGTAGCAGTGAGCGATCTCATCTTCCTCAATCTGCTCAACCACACTCCCAGCCTGCACCACATTCGGCTTGCCTCTTCCCCCATAGGTCAGCCTCACTGGAGGGCGCACATCCCTCCTAGGACGCTCAGGCGGGTGTGGAACTCGAGGTGGAGACTCATGCTGCTGCTGCTGCTGCTGCTCTACTTCAGCTGCTCCCCCTTCCTCAGTCACCCCAGACATCTCCTCCTCTGACACTGCAACCTCCACCTGTCTTGAAGGCTGCTGCACCTCATCTGCCTCCACAATGAGCGGTGTAGATGGAAGCTTCTGTTGCTGCTGCTTCCATTCCTTGTAGTACAGGGACTCAAGAAACTTCACATCCCTTGACACTGTCAACTTCTGGGTGGTCAAGTCCCATAGCAGCCACCCCTTGTGATCCTTTGCAATCCCCAAGTGCACACCCCATCTTCCAGAAGCCTCCAACTTCCCCTTTTTCTCCTTAGGCACATGAAACACCACCATGCACCCAAATGCCCTCAGCATGTTCACAGCTGGAGCACTCCCATACCACTTGACGTATGGGATCCACTCCTTATCTCCAACTGTAGCCAGCACCCTGTTCTTCACAAGGGCGACCTGCCTCAGTGCAGACACCCAAAACGGATCAGGCAGCCCTGCACGCCCAAGGAGAGTGCGTGCCCCCTCCTGCAGGGTCCTGTTGAACCTCTCAGCCACGCCATTCTGCTGTGGGTTGTAGGGCACTGTCAGTTGATGCTGGATCCCCTTCCTCTTCAACTCCCCCTCAAAATCAGCTCCAATGAACTCCCCACCATTGTCACTACGGATCACCTTCACCTTGTGTCCGCATTCCCTCTGAGCTCTCGGCATCCACTCCTTAAGGACAGCCGCTGCCACCTCCCCCTTGCTCTTCAAAGGGTAAACCCACACTGCCCAAGTGTGGTCATCCACAATTGTCAAGAAATAGCGGCTGCCTGAGAGGGAAGGGGCTCTTGTGGGCCCCACCACATCCATGTGCACAAGTGCAAGTGGGGTCTTGGATGGTCCAGTTGCACTGTTGAAGGGGAACTTGGAGAACTTGGTCTCCAAGCATGTAGGGCAGCTCCCAATCTCCTTCACTTCCCCTTTCACCTCCAAGCCCTTCAGGCTCCCATTCTTCACCAACTTCTGCAGCATAGGGAAGTTCACATGACACAACCTCTCATGCCATGTCTCCCAATCGGCCTCTCCACTCCTTGATGAAGCCTTAGCCCATGCCGCACTCGCATCCACACCAGCAAGCACCTCACCATGTGTCTGCTGCTTCTGCACTTTCTTGACTGCTTCCAGCACCCCATCAGTTGGTGCAGTTGCATCTCCTCCTGCTGTTGCCTTTGCCACTGCTGCCGTTGCTGCTGTTGGAGTCTTCCCATTCCAAGGGATGATGGGCAGCTGCCACAGGTCCTTGATGCAGCTGGTCTCCTCTTCCAGACTCCACAGCACCTTCTTCCCAAGCTTAGCACGGCAGCTGGTTGGTCCAAAGGTCACTTCGGCCTTACTCTTCTGCAGCCGCCGCACAGAGAGAAGGTTAGCAGACAAGCCTTTAACCAGCAGAACATTCCCAAGCCCCACAAGCTCCCCATTAGCTCCCTTAACCTTGGCATTCCCAACACCAATCACGGGGAGCAAAGCACCTGACGCTGCTGCCACATACTTAATCTTCCCAGGGGGTTTTACCTCATCAAGCAAATCTGCCCGTGGGGTCATGTGACTGGTGCAACCCGAATCAATCACCCAGTGCGTGAGAGGGTGCATCACAACCTTTCCCACAAATCCCACATCACCCTCATGCCCATGCACATCCTCAACCATAAGAAACAAACCAGGATAGGCATTACCTTGTGCACCTTCACCTTGTGCACCTGAGCCTTGCACAGCGCCACCTTGTGCGCGTTCACCACTGGGTGGCTTCATGCCTGGAGGTGCCCATCCCTCCGGCCTGCTGAAGCACTTGAACCAAGGATGCCCTATCTTCTTGCAGTACCAGCAGGTGCCCTCCATTCTGGTACTCCCCCTGCCACTAGAGCTCCCATGCCCCTCATTATAGTCACCTCGGCCTCTACCTCTGCCAAAGCTCCTCCCACGGCCTCGGCCTCTCCAACCCCCTCTTCCTCTGCCGCGCCCTGCAGCTCCATACCCCTCAGCAGTCTTAGTGGCAGCACCGCCTCCCACATGGCGTCTGCGGAAGTCCTCCTGCAGAATCTGCTGCCTTAGCCACTCAGGTGTCCATTGATCTTGTTGAGAGTTGAGGGTGGGGATGAGGTTGTCCCAAGAGTTGTCCAACACCGAGATGATCTTGGTGCACTGCTGCAGCTGAGATACACTGCTGCCCGCTGCTGCCATCCTTGCATAGGTGTCCTTGATCTTGTCAAGGACCGGCTTCACATCGTCCCCTGGTTGCATGGAGATGGCAGCAAGTTCCTTCTCGAGCACGATCACCATCAGGAGAGTGTTGGGCTGAACCACATCACGTAGTAGTTTCCACGCCCTTGGACCCGAATCATCCGCTTCCACAAGATCCTTGATGTGCTCGAACATCTCCTTGTTGACCGATTGAAGAATGAGGTCGAAAAGCACCGCGCTTTTCTCAATCCACCGTTCACGTGCTTCGCCTTCTTCCGGCATCTTCTCTTCCCCAACAGCAATCTTCAGTAGCTTGTAGCGTTTGAAGGCACTCCTCATCCGTCCGCTCCATTCCTCATAGTTGGAGCCATCCAAAGCTTCAACTTTTGATGGCGGCGGCTCACTTGTCTTCTCAGGTACAGCTCCTCTTCCATTAGCATCTCCTCCTCTCTCATTCATCTTCTCCTTGAGAAATGACGAATTTCAGCTCCCCTTTGCTGTCCACACTCAGCTCCCTCGATATTTTCACAAGTGTCGGCGTCCACGAAATTTCGGCAGAGTTTCCCCTTAGCGGAAGACACATCCAACCTTTAGAACACCACTTAGGCACACCCACAGGCCATGGTGGGTCTAGAAGGGTCTTCACACTTCTGTAGACTCCTCTCAATGTCCTTAATATGGCTCTGATACCACTTGTTAGGATTAAGGACGGAGTCTAGGTGAACTTAGGAGCTAGAATTACTCAAAATATAAATCCGAAATTCTGGACAGAAAAGTCGTCTTTACAAGAAACGACGTCGACGAAAAACTAGCCGTTGGAATGTCGCGAAACTTGGATATGTTGTAGCTCTTAATCTCAGCTACCGTTCCCAATTTGAATCACGTTGATTGATGAAGTATTCGCGACGCTATGGCTTTCGACGCATTAGGGGGTAAGCTGTAGGAGGAGAACTTAACTCAATCTCAAAGGTTCAATCAAAGTTCAAGAATCTCACAAGGAATTAGAAGGAGCAAGAGAAAGGTTGGGATAGGAAGAGAGGGATGAGAGGGAAGGTCCCAAGAGAGTCCCCAACCAAGGAAAACCCCATAAGCACAAAGATTCCCTCCCTATAGGAACCCCAACTTTGACATTTGTCCCTTCCCAACCAATCCATCCAAGTTGGCCACCCTTGCCAACCTAGCTTGGTTGTTCCCAACCAATTTGCAGCTGTTACAGTAGAGTGACAAGTTTCCCCAACCCCAAAGGTCCCAACTCCATATAAAGTCACCCCACAACTTCACTTAGTAACCGCCGCAATTGTAACGCAAGCTCATGAACTTTGAATCTTCATAGCTTTCGCGTTCTTGCTCCGATTGAAGCGATTCTTGTTGCGTCGGAAAGATCTTCTCAAGATCTATTATCACAAATACCTGCTCAGACAGAATAACACAAAACACATTCCCAAACTCCAGAACACACCACACACAAATGCTTGCACATTCAAACCACACATGCAAGTTGAAAAAACATGGGATGGGAGGCAGACAGAATGTGATAGCATATGATGACATCACACAACAGTATCTAGTGAGTACCTCGGGCTCGGGGCTTGTGTTGGGAGGACGGGTGCTAGTTGTCACGGTATCCGAGCTGGAAGAGGCTCCAGGTCGAATTCCACATCAGGAAAAGAGATTGGTGGCAGGATATAAGAAAGCGAGATAAAAGAATTGTAGAAAGGTGTTTCATGTGAGATGTGGAGAAGCCGAGGTGGGACAGCAGTAGTGCAGATGACAGCAATCGAGGACCACATGAGGTCAGCCTGGGTAAGTCACGGGGTGGTCACATCCTCTCTGGGGAATTCCAGGAGCCAAGCAAAGAGTAGTTGGAAGTTGTTTGCTTGGGAGAGGAGGTGAACACCCTCGAGAGGAACCACTGTGTAAATAGACTGTACCATAGTCTCTTGCTAGCTTTTCGCTGGTATGCTTCCTCTATACTGCAATTTGTTCCTACCGAGCACGAGCAGTTAGGGAAATCAGCTAGCTTGGTAGTGAGATGCTTGAGTAGCGCAGCCAGTCTTGTTGCATACAAGCGAAAAGCTAGGAGTGCAGCTCGCGCACTAGATCGGTGAGTCATAAGTAGAGAGGTGAGTCCCGAGCGACATCACCTGCGATCTGGCCATAGTTATCTGGCTAGAAATGTGGATGAGGATTGGAATCCCCCGTTACATCCCGAGTATCGGGTGGCAGCACGCAGGCTAGAGGGCCTCGAAGGTTAGGCGTTGGCGGCGAGGAACACTGAACGTGCTGCGGAAGGAGCTGGCAGATCGCCAGTCATGAGAGAACAGAGGAGATAAGGGCCAGGCTCCCGACGAAGCACTCCGATGAGGACGGAACCGAGACGCCATGAAGTCCCAAGGGAAGGCGGAGATGGAGGGAGAGACGAATGGGGTGCAGATCTGCTGAGACGCGGAGCGGCGCCGGTGCGCATGGCGTGAACCAGAGGAAAAGGATCGGGCAGTGGAGCCGCGACATGGGACAGCAGCCGGTCTTTGGGGATGAACGTCCCGAAGATTGAGATTCCAGATTAGGTTTTCAGGTGTGGCCGGCAAGGAGCCATCGTTGAAGAATTATATCATGCCGGTGGACGACATTCGATACATTCGATGGTGGACTGAGTGGAGCTAGCACGACTGCTGCGGCTATGTGAAAGGGGAGACTTTCTTCCGAGCGAGATTACGCAGCATTTCTTCAAGATCCTGAAAGAGTAGTTCCCTGATCATTCAGCTGAGCAGACGGCGGAGTTTAACAACTTTAAGCAAGGGCGAGGCGAATCGCTCTCAGCGTACTACAATCGTCTGATGGAATAAGCAGAGGATATGAACTGCATGGAGGATCGGCTTATGGTGGCGAAGTTTATGGGAGGGTTAGAGGAGCTGGTGAACGAGATAAGGAGTGACCTGTACCCGATTCGCACGAAGGCAATGCTGCGGCAGGTGTATCAGATCGCGAAGGAGGCAGAGCAAGGACGACGATTTGTAGATTTGCTAAGGGGAGTGCAGCGGCAGCCAGAGCAAAGAAGAGCGGCGTGTGCAGCCACTGAGGGTCGGCGGTATGACGAAGAACGGAGGGAGCGGAACACCGAGGAGCGGCGCTGCCACAAGTGTGGAGAATTCGGGCACATAAGGCGAGACTGTGCTGCCAAAATCATGTGTGACATCTGCAGTCAGTTGGGGCATTTCAGGCGTAACTGTCCCAGAGCGCCGTCGTGCGGGGAATGCAGAAAGAAAGGGCACACCGTCCAGCAGTGCTACAGGAGGGGCAGCTGAGGAAGGGGAAGGACTACTCGGGAACAGGAGCTAGAGCTGGAGCTGAAGAAGCTAAGGGCGCAGCTAGGAAAGGCGGAGATCAGTGAAGACCCAGAGAAAGCAATGCTGGCGTGGGAGGAAGATGTAGAAGACGAAGACAGCCAGAGCGAGTTCGCCTTAATGGCGACGGCGCCCCGAGATCAGAGATAGTTAGGATTGCAAAGCGGAGGAGTAGATGGTAGACAGGAGGTGGTAGCCCCAAGACTGAGAAGAGGAGAAGTCAGGGCAGATGCAGAGGGAGACGATCAAGCAAGGCGACACCGAGAGGAGCAACTGGTGTGTCACACGACGACTTTGGTGGCTGAACCAGGCAGCATAGCGGTGCAAGGAGTCGGCGTCGAAAACGCGGTGATCGACACTGGCGCCCAAAGTGTGCTGATGGGGCGGCGATTGGCGGAAAGGCTGAAAGAAGTGGGATAGCTAAACGTGATAAAGAAAGGCATATTAGTCATGACAGCTGAGGGAGGCCCTCCCAAGCGGATGCCGAGCACCAAAGAGCCGCTTGAGATCACCTTGCTGCCCGGGCAAGAACAAGAGACGCAGATTCGGGTGCAGTGTGGAATAAATGAGTCTGAAGACTATGACCTGCTCGTGGGCATGGAGCTGATTCACGAAGTAGGGGCACAGATCTGCACCTGGGAGGAAAAGGTGCTATTTTGCACCAAGTACTGGAAGGAAGGAGGGACGATGGGAGAACTACATGTCTGGTTTGTACGAATGGAGCCGAGAAGGGCGCTACGAGGGGGAGAGAGGCCAGCAGCATGCGCCATAGAAAGGGAAGAGGTGATCGAGAAAAGGGAGACCGCTAGACCCAGAGAAGATGGTGGCAAGAAGAGGCCGACGGGAGAAGCACTCGGGAGCCGGCCAATAACACTGGTAGAGCTGTTCGGTGGGATCAGTGCTGGGCTTGCAGCGGTGCTAGAAGCAGGGCTGGTGGTAAAGCAATGGATATACATCGAAGTGAACTCAGAAGTCCGCCATATGGCCTGACATCATGCGGAGTTGCTGGCTAAGCAATACCCAGGACAATTGGAGAGAAGCGTGACAAGGAAAGCAAAGGAAGAAGGGCAGTGGGATGTCGAACGGATTACCGAGGCAACTGTGCTCAGTTGGGGAGCAGTGGACCTGATGGTAGCTGGATGGGAATGTCAAGGGACATCGACAGCAGGCAAAGGGAGAGGAATGCAAGACCATCGTACCAGACTGCTGGACTCACTGCTGCAGATCATGAAGTGGGCCAGAGAAGGGGGATTTGCTTATAGCTACGTGGTGGAGAACGTCGACATGAAGGGAGATCCTAGGGAGCCAGTGCTTGCAGTATATGAGCCCATTAACAAGGAGCTGGGGGCAGAAGTTAGCTGGGATGCGACGCTGAATGGAGCACGGGCACATGGAGTGCGAAACTACTGGCAAAACGGGGTACTAGAGCAAGAACTAAAAGGAAGGCTGCGAGAGCTGAGGAGAGACGACGGGCGCAGAGTGGAAGACATACTACAGCCGGGTAGAACGGCAGCAGAGGTTGAGAAGAGGGATCACCCAAGGCAGCTGCAATGTAATAAGATTGGAGAGCCGAGGAGGGCATGGCCCACAGTGGTAGCCTATGAAGGCTCACGGGGGTTCAGGCTTGAGGAAGGAAAAATAGGCCCGGGAATGGTGTACGATCACACACGGAGACGATGGGAAGAACCCGGTGCTCAAGAGAGGGAGATGGCCATGGGTTATCAGCCTGGAGCCATAGCAGCAAAATAGGCAATGGAGCAGGACTGTAGGGCGGCACTGGGTAGAGCGATGAACCAGCAGGCTCT